TCGTTTCCCCAAGGTCGTTTATGCTCCCACACACACACGCACACACGTACCCCTTCCTCTTCTGCTCCCCTCCCTTTTTCATACACCTTTTTTCGATGACTTTTCCCATTCCATTCCCATAGATTCCGCTGAAGCCAGCAAAAAAATACTTTGCACACAACCAAAAATCCCATTGGATGGGAGAGGCGAGAGTAGAGAGTAGAGGGTTTGCCTTGTCAATGAAAAAAGTGTCAGGGCTAGAGATTTAATTAAAGCGAAAACAAAGCCAAAAGTAGAAACCCCCAGCCACCAAAGCAGCAGCAACAAAAGTTAGTGAACCTCTCTCTAAAAATACTACAATGGCCGCAGACTCTCCTCTCTCCCGCTCTCCCGTTCTACCGTTCTTCCGTTTGCACTTGCTGTGCTAGAACGGGAGAGCAGGCGAGTCAGGCGAGAGCAGACGAGAGCGGAGTAAGCGAGCGAGAGAAGGGTTCGGGTCCATCCGAAATTCGCAAGAAAAAAGTCTAAGAGTGTGAAAGAGAAAGGAAAGGCTGACGCGCTACTGTCGGACGCTGCTGTTATCGTTTGAATCTCCGGCTGCTCTCCCACACGCACACGCACACACACTCTCCGCTCTCCGCTCTCTCACATGTTGTCCCTTTCGCACTTGTGCCCAGGCACGGACGAACGTGTCAATGACTCGCGCGACTGTTAATGTTTTTAAATTTAAGTCTACAACAAATTAAATTTTCGTAATAATTAGTTTTTGTGTTTATTTGTTTTTGCACAGAGGTACTCGCATGTACCCTGCAAAGAAGGGGGGTTAAGGCTGCAAAAAGATTCGATAGAGGCATAACCTTTTTGGTTTGCAAATGCCCGATTAGATTATAATCATAAATTCTTGGCAAATCACAAAAATTTCATCGTGAGATAAGACTTTCTGTTGGCAACAAATGCTGGCCCACGGGGTATCTCCGTCTTCGACTATTTTGGGCACTCGGTGTCGTCGGCTATCGGTGACATTGGGGGAGCGGAGCAGTTTATGCCTTTTATGAGCCAGCCCCTACTTTGGGTACTCGTGTACCCGCAACCCCCCGCCCCCCGCCCCCCTTCGACCTGCCCCTGGCTAATTGTGTGGCCTTTTTATGGGTCTGAAGTCTGTAGTTATTTCGTTCCTCATCTGCTGCTTGTGCTGCTGTGCCTGTCTGTGCCTTGCCTTTTGGCTTTGGCTTTGTTTTTTTTTTTTTTTTGTTTCCTGCTTCATTTGCTTATTGGCTTTAATGTACTTTGCATGTTTTTTTTTTCTTTGAGCTGCTTGTCGTGTTGCAGCCGTGTCAGTGCCAGTGCCAGTGCCAGCGGTGCCCCTTCCCCCGTCCCACTGTATGGATGGCTGCGCGCCTGCGCACACACACACACACACACACACACACACACACAGCTACAACAGACTCGGGCAATTATTGTTTAAATACCCTACATTTTGGAAGGGTATTCCGATCCCTACGATCCTACCGGAATAAGCCCCTAAGCTCCCCTTTTCTATCCTTAATTTTCGCCACCTTTGGCGTGCTCTATCAACTGGGCCTCTCTCTCACTCTTCCGTAATTGGGTCAAAGTTCAACCAGCTATGAAAATGCTAATTGCACGTCGCCGCTACAGTTCTACGGATGGATTGTCGTGGGCGAAAGTTAACGGTAGGCGGGCCAAGCCCCAAAATATTCGAAACAATCCATGAATCGGTGACAAATCCGGCCTTTTGGCAATTGAGATTCATAGGAAAATGCCCAAAATGGTTTATTTTTGGGGGTTTCTTTGAGTGACTCATTCATTCACTCATTCAAATACAGTGACAGCTGCTCCAGTGAAAGGAGGGAACGATTGCTTAGAGGAATCTTTTCATTGAGAGATGATGGTCGGATTGATTGGATTTCCTCTGAGGAGATCTATCAGGGTATTTAATGACATCTCTTGTGGCATTTAATGAATAACTGAATAGATCTTTCATTGCGCTTAATGAATGGTTTAATTAGAAGTATTTGATGCCTTTAAGAGCTTCAATATTGTAGTTTTGTGGCTTTAAGAAATCACTCTGTCTCGCTATCTCTCTCTCTTTCTCTACCCGTAGAATCAAAGCCGTTAAAACGTTGCACTTGTACGTGTTCTACAGGGAGCCACATGTGGTGTTCCTCCCTCATAAAGGTTCTTCCCGCCCCCTGGATCCACCATCCACCAGTGCCATGGAGGGAGTCGGTGACTCACGAGAAAGAGAGAGACGGAGCCGTGGCTGGGGCTGGGGCTGGGGCTCTGATAAAAAGGCAATTTACTCGTTAAAAGCGCAGTGAGAAGAGTGAAGGAAAAAAATGAGCTGAATTATCAATAAAACGGAAGTGAGAGAAGCAGAGGAGCACAGAGAGAGAGAGAGAGAGAGAGAAGGAAGGGATAGACAAAACATAAATTAAACTAAATAAAGCGCAAAAGATTCGCGGAAAAATGGCAGAATGGAATATCGTTTGTCATTTAAGTGGAATTCCAAAACTCAGGCCGAAATAAAATTCAAAATAAAATTATGATTAAGCCAGAAAAAGACACACACACAGACACACACACAGCTGTGACGTTTGATGGGCTTCGTATCTGTGGTTGCTGTATCTGTATCTGTATCTGTTAACCGGTTAACCATTCAGTCAATAAGTTGGCCAAAAGCACAGCCAAAGACACAGAAACAGCAGCAGACGGCAGACAGCAGACAGCAAAATGCCAATGAAATGAGACTGAAGCAAGTGGCTGTCCCGTTCCCGGTTCTAAAGTCACACATGCAGATACAGATACAGAAAGTATCTGCTGCTTCTGGGCATTACTCATGCTAATTTCACACTCACACAGAGACAGATACAGAGACAGAGACAGCGACAACAGTATAATGAACTACTTTAAGGCGTCCAGAGCCGAGTTGCGTTAACAAGTTTTCTTGAGCAGCCGCACAGTGGGCTGGCCTCCCATGGTTACCACGTGCCACTTGCCACTTGCCACAGAGCAGAGCCCTAGATCGGGGCAGAGACTGGTACCTGGTACCTGGCACCTGGTACCTGTAGGCCTGTGTGGAGTGTGGAGTGTGGGTCGCAAAAACCCATTGAAAGACCTATGAAATTTAATAGATTTCATGAAAGTATCCATCGGATTGGATTGACAGGCTTGGATTGGCCAAGTAATCCATTCCATAAGTAACCCCATATAGGGGGGGTGCCATTTCCATTTCCAAACAATTTGAAAGGCGAATGGCGTGTATGAGGTAAAAGTCCAAAGAATATAAACTCTTTCTCCCAACAACAGGTTTTTCTCTGTATGCAAAATATGGGTAAATGGATATATGGATATAGTATTTCCGGATTGCGATTACTCATTGATTTTCATTTCATTTCGCCATTAAAACAAGTCTCTAGCGATGATTAAGAGTTAGTATAAGATTGAATAAACAAATTTGTGGGGGTTTTTAGGGGAAACTATCTTTTATCTTTTATTATACACAAATGATGGAATTTTTGGATGGATTCACCTTTACTTAAAGCTTAATATTTGCTATAAACGACGATAAACGACAAAAAGCCCCGGAGAAACATTCATGAGATACATTCCTTGCCACAAACAAACTCCCTTGAAATCCCTTGAAATCCCTGCTGCCTGCCCGAATTACTCATTTCAGAAATATGCGATGATTAACACTTAGTACAAGCCCCAGTTGAAGCTCAATTGAATCCAAAGATACTTTTGTGTATCTCTACGCGAGAGGCAATAAAGAACTTCAGACAGGCAGACAGGCAGGCAGCGGCAGTGGCAGCGGCAGACACGACTCAATTTTGTGGCATTAATCACACAAAAAGCTGTGTGCCCCATTGGCTTCGACGACCCCCCACTACAGTGGAGCCCCACTCCGGCAGCCAGCAACAACTTGCCGTTGGCCTCCCAAGCGCAGGCGGCGGCGGCGGCGGCGGCGGCATGCCACACTTTTTCTTCTGCTTGCAACAAAGGCTAACGGTAATTTTACAAAAGCAAATGTCTATTTTTGTGCCTGCAACTGACGTACTGGCTCTGGCTCTTGCCTCTGGTGCATAGTTCTGCTCCCCCTGCCCTCTCCTTCCTAGTCGTATCTTTCAGATACATTTTAAAGCATATAATTTAAATACAAACACAAAGTCAAGGCATTGTTTTTGAGCGAAAGAGACGGAGAAATCTTCTCTGCTGCCCCTGCCCCTGCCCCTGCCGCTGCCGCTGCTTCTGTGATTATGATGATGATGGCTGCCTCTTGTTTCCCTGGCGTTTCTCCCTTCTTGTGGAGTATCTTTCCCCGGAGAGAGGGTATCACGCAAAAGCCCAAACAAAACTCGTTCGAGCAGATAGCTCCCAAAAAGGCAAAAAAAGGCAGATATAGTTCTTGAAACCCTTTCCTAGGGTACCACCCCATTCGTTACTCGACTTGCACATTCCTCTCATGTCTTGCGGCCAGAGAGAAATGTGTTAATGTGTGAGAAAAAGATTGTTCTGTTCTCGTTCTCGTTCTTTGGGTTGAATTTTTGTTTGGGTTTGTAGTCTATTTTTTGTTCTGCTTTGGGACAAGTTATTAGACGGCGGGGAATAGCGGGCCAAACAACTAATTAAAGCAGCGCCAGAAAGAACCACAGATGATGCTGCTGCAGATACAAGATACATTTGTGGGTGGGTGTGTGCGTGCGTGTGTGTGTGTGTGTGTGTGCAAAAACGCAGTCAAGCAGAAACCCTAATGCTAATTGCTAATTATAAAGAGACCACAGAAGTGACGCCGCCGCTGGCTCTCAAAAAGAGACTCTGAGAGATCGTTGCTCTCTCCTTCTCTCTCTCTCGCCCAAAGTTTAAGTGAAAATTTCCATACAAAAAAAAAAGAAAGCTGAAATCTGAAATCTGAAGCAACATGCCAGCCCCAAAAAACAGTATTTATTGCTAATAAAAACTATACAATATAATAGATAAAATATCGATGCATTTCTTACCTTGTAGACCTGGCCGTAGGTGCCATTGCCAACAACTTCGATCAGCTCAAAGATGCCAGCGGGATCCTGCAAGAAAACAGAAGGGAAGGGGGGTTAAAAACATGTGTGAGAAAAATCGCGGGGCAACACGGGAATCCTTCGGTGGCAAACAAAGGAGCGAGCAAGCAGGGACGAAGGGGTAGGAGGGAGAGCCCCAGAGAAGGGAGTTCCTTCATACATAAATACACGTACAAATAAGGAAAGAGACGGCAGACAGAACGATGTTAAAAATATACAAAATCCTCAAATTCCAATTGGGATTCACGCACCTCTCCCCCACCCCCCATGCACCACACACCACACACCAGACACCCTTTAAAGCCATACAAATTGCAGGCGGGGGTTCATTGACACGAGACTCACGAGAAGGGAGCACGAGAGTGCGATGGACGTGACACGAGATACATGTGTGGAGAGAAGGGCAGGGCAGGGGGCAGGGGGCAGGGGGGAGCATGGAGTACAATGCTTTCTATTTTTATTGGAGCGCAGGTGGAAGGGGAGGCAATGGGAAGGGCTTACAAAAGCCGACAAGAACGACGGAACGACAGGTAAAGGCAAATGCCAATTAAAATAACAACAAAAACAACACGAACGGCATTTCAACAGGTAACTGAGTGTTTTTTTTTTTTGTTTTTTTTGACAGCCCCAAAGGGGAAAGGCAAGAGGGAATGAAGAAGTAGAATTTAAATGCTGATGGAGAAGCACGAAAGGGAAATAGCAGGAGGTTTAGGGATAGAGAGAGAGAAAGAGAGAGAGCAAAAGTGCAGTTACTGCTCCAAATTCCAAAAGAAACGACCGATGGAAGACCTAAGGTTCCGAGTTTCCAGAGGGGATAATACCCAAGGAATACCCCTCAGATATCCCAGTGATGGAATTGGCCAGAAATTGGGGTACAGATCGGGATGCCGTCGGGAAGCAATGACCTCTTGGGGTGGAGTTAAGGTGGCGATTGGGGGCGGGGGGTACGAAAAATCCAATCATGGCAACGGAAAAGTTTCTTGTTTTCGATTGATTTACGATAGTCTCACAAATTGTCAACTTTATTAGACTTTAATCCCAAAAAAATTCCCTCCCGAAAGGTATATCCCACCCGAAACAGGGGATTTCTTTCTTTGGAATGAGAAGGAGAGGGAGAGACAGAGGAGGAAGGGACTCCACATAAATCTCCAGCTCCCTCAAAGGTAAGGGGCGGGACAGAGGTCTCCTTAAGCTTACGGCCAGAGAGACCCAAAGGAATTAAAGCGAGTAAGAGAGAGAGAGAGAGAGAGAGAGAGGAAAAGACAAAGCCTCAAGAGCCGAAAAAAATAGAAGTAAAAGAAAGAAAAAGCAAACCGAAACGAAACGAAAAAAGTGCAGAGCAAATAAGCAAATAGTGGGGAATGACGACGGAGGGGGTAGAGGGAGAAAGGCAGAAGAACTATGGGAAGCCGCTCTAAGTAGATTTATGGCTGCCTAGCGAGCCCCCGTCCCCGCCCCCGCTCCCGCCACCATCGACGGGAACCCTCCTCCCCCTCCCTTACCCGCAAAAGTGTGTCAAACAGATGCAAAGAGCACACACAGCGCGATAGTCGGAAAGGGAGAAGGGTGAACGGGAAGGGAGGGGTAGAGGGGTAGAGAGAACACAACTGTAAGTGTGGGAGAGAGGCATGTGATGTGTGTGTGTGTGTGTGCTGGGAAGTGCAGCAGCGGCAATTACTGCTATTTATGGCTGATTACTTCACCGTTGTAAAAAATCAATTAAAAATGCACGAAAAATGAACTCAATGAATGGAAGAGCGAGAAGGCAGAAGGGAGTAAGCAGAGAGCCATGGGAGAGGGGAAGACAGTCGGGGAGTGTCTGCTACTCCATGACTCATTAGCATTGTGACATGTTAAAGCAGAACGAGCACGAACAGCCAGTGCATAGAGCGAGAGAGAATGATCCGTTAGAACAAAAGTTCTCTCGCTCAAGCTCCCTCCCTCTCTCCCTTCCACTCTATGTCTGTCTGTCTGTCTGTCTGTTGGTCAGCGAGCACTGCCTGCTCGTTTGGTTACAGTTATCAGCAGGCAAAACAGGCTGTTTGCCTGCTCGCTCACTCTTTCCTGCTGCTGCTGCTGCTGCTGCCAGTGCCAGTGCTGCTGTCCAGCTGCTGCCACATGCGTCCCCTCTACTCACAATCACTGCTTCTCTATCTTCTCTTCTCCTCTCCTCTTCCCTCTTCCCATTTGCCTTTTGTTTGTCTTTCGTATTTGTATTTGTCCAAACGGGTACAACTAAAACTAAACAACCCGATCCGTCGTCGGGCCGTCAGACCGTCGGGAGGCCGACACGGCGAGAGAAGCGGCGGACCAACGCAGCCGCCGACTGGCTGTGGCAACAGTGGGGCCTAGCCTCATCCTCCCGGGGAACGGAACTCCACTTCTAATTTCGGTTCTCATTCGCCCTAGCGAGTCTCCACCGTAGCCGAGGAGTTCTCTTGTCTCTCTCTCTCTCTTTTTTTTCTTCTAGTAGCTGCTTTTATTATTACAGTTTTGCCTGGCCTGGAAAACTGGAATTCTTTTCGTTTCGTTTCGTTTCGTTTTGTTTGTCTAAAAGCGCAACACTCACTCCTTCCCTTCTCCTCCCCTCTCCTTTGTCTCTTTGGCAAAGGCTTGGCCCAGTTAGCGGCACAGAGGAGAGGCTGAAGAAGGAGCTGGAGATTGTCCAAAAACAGGACTGACTGCATATTAGGAGTGGATGGTGGGGTCTGGGGTCTGGGGTGGTTAGATATGCAGATGCAGAGGCAGTACCTGATACGGCTCAAAAGAGACAGAGAGACAGAGAGAGAGAGAGAGAAGGAGAGGTGTGGAGCACACTCACAATAGTTGTGAATTTGTTTCTGATTTGCTTAAGTTTTTATGCACACAGAATGCGAGCCAAGGCCTCTCTCCTTCGACTCCTTCGACTATGTAACTCCGAAGAGGCTCCCCCTTCCACTCCATTAACTTTATGTACTTTGCCTGGGATTTTCCCCATGGGCCTCGCTCTCAGAGAGAAAAAAATGTACCGAAAACTGATAAATTTCCCTTATGATCGCCGGCATATGAAAGCAGAACTGATTGTTGCTGATTATTTCCCTCTTGGGGAAATTCCGTTCTTTAAACATTTGAATTTGAGAGTTTCCTCATATAAAAGTGTTTTTCCTGGGTTCCGATGTTGATTTAACCCACAAAAACGCAGCACAGAGCACACAGCACATGTGTGGATGATATGGATTGTGGATCGGATCGGTTTCGTCGTTTTCCTCAATCCACCAGCAAATTGCAGCGCACACACATGCAAGCACACGCACACGCACACGCACACATGCACAGGCGCACAAATGCAAACTAAAATGTGGGCGAACACGTTTTTTATCGCAGCCCAAAAATGAAAAAAAAAAATGCAATAAATGTTGATTAAAATAAAACCGAACAAAAGAAACAAACGATGAGAGGATGGAAAGGGAGTTGGAGAACTCGAGTTATCAGGCAAATGCAGAACATAAAAGAAACTGCAGTAAAAGAGAAAGAACAGAGAGGGAGAAATAAAAAAAATCATAAAAAACCAATTAAGGAAATTTGAAATTTGTGTTCCAACGAATGCAGTTTCCCCTTCCCCCCTCCTCCTCCTACGACTGTATACATGTATCTTATCGGTTGAAGCTTATCAGAGTTTCGAACTGAAGGAAACCTCAAAAGGGAGCCCCTGCTCCCCAGCCCACCCCACCCCACCCCTCACTCTCTCTCTTTCTTTCGTTCTACCATCGCACTGTTCAAGCTTTAAGGACTCTGACCTTTTTACCGTTTCTATTTCGGGACATTCCCTCTTCTCCTCCCCTTCCATCAGCCATTGTTGGAATGACCTTTAAAAGCCACGCACAGACAGGTCAGAGACGAGACGAGAGACGCGACGGAGGCGCCCACGCGCCTCTGCCAAAGAAAGAGAAGGCCAACAGCCAGCAGCCGCAGCAGCACAGCAGCAACACTTCAAACATACACACACACACACACGCACGCACACAGACAAGAGTCGTCATATTCTGCTGCCATTTTTTGCTGATTTTGCTTTGGTTGGTGCCTTCGTTCTGCCAGTGCTCCATCATCATCATCATCATCTTCATGCTGTCTGGTGCAACACACTCACACACACACACACAGAGAGAGAGAGGGAGATTCACTCAGCGGCAGCAGTAGACACGCATGGACATGTCTGCCTCCTCTGCCTGCCTTTTAATAAAGTAAACTAAACAATTTTCATTCTTGTCTCGATTTGTGTCTCCTTCTTCGTCTCTTGCTTCTGCTTCGACTATGAACAATTTTTCATAAACACACTCGACTCGCACAGAGAAAGAGATTCTCACACGCAGACAGGCACATGCCAGTGCAGAGGCGACGACCCAAGGCACCACCCTACCCCACCCCTACTCCCCTCTCCGTTGCACACAAGCAGAGTCAACAAACGGACACTCACACAGACATAGGCACACTCACTCACAAGCACACATGTACATTCGGTGGGTGCGCAAAAGAGCAGGCGCCCAATGTGGGGCCCACCCCAAAAACCAGCATGGTGAGTTTCTCCATTCTCCCAGCAGAGCTTAGGCGTGGTGGGAGACGGTGAGTGGTGAAGTGCTTTTGGTGAAAGAGAAAGGCGGCAACAAAAACGCATGCGGCATTGTGGTGGCGGCCAGGCCACCTCTCTGTGCGTGTGGAGGGGGGTGGGTCGGGGAGCCAACCAATTCATTGAGAAACGAAGCGAATGGCAAAAAAGAAACGAAAAATACAAAAAAGAAAAGAGAAGAGCTAGGCAAAAGCAAAAGCAAAAGCAAAAGAAGATGACACCGGCCGGCCTCTGATAATTTGGTGGTGGGTTGGTGGGTTGGTGGCGGCTGGAATGACGGGTGGGTGGTGGATGAACATGAATGGGGGCGAGTGGTGGGTGGGATTGTCTCATAATCGAGCAATCGAAAACTTAATGCCAATAAATGCATTTATCAACTCGATTATTGTGAATCGCTCTCGTTGAACGGGGGGAAACAGTGAGAGAGTGTGACTCTGACTGTGACTGAGAGGGTGCAACCTTCCCCTCCTGTTGCCATAGCAAAAAGCATGAAACGTGAAACGTGAAACACAAAGCACAAATTTCTTTTGTTGTAATTTTCAACGAAAATTTACATAAAGGGGAAGGGACCTTGACTGAAAATGGCTCCAATAATAGAGAGCTGAATGCAATTTCTGATGGTTGTATAACTGCCACAAAAGCCAAATGTGGCATAGAACCAAAACGGGGGCCAGCGCAGGGTGCATTATGTAGCGGGAATACCTGACCGTATATGAGACGTACCATGGTTTTAAGCAATAATCAGCTGCAAAATTCCAGGCGGAAGTGGATTTACCGTTACAAAAACACATGGCCACACCTAGCCAAAGGGGAAGCGGAGGTGTAGAAAATAAGAAGAGAAAATAAGTGCGAACGGGAACGGAGCGATAATAGAATGCGAGAATAAAGAGGAGCAACGCGAATAGTGGGAGCAGCGATTGTCGAGAGGGAGGTGCAGCAATTAAGTACAGGGGGCGGGGGCTGGCACGGTCCCACGGGGTGATAATGAGCACACTAAACACACTGGAACACCGCTCCAAAAATAGCCACCGAAAGGGGGAGGGGCTGGTCGTATGAGATCAGATCTGATCGGGTGTGGGGATATATTCACTTACCTTCAGTGCCGTCAAATCGATATCATCCAATGAACAATTCACGGATGGAGCCAGTTGTTGTTGCTGCTGCTGTTGGTGCGCCATTTTGATTTGCTATTTTGTTGTGTTGTTCTCTTCTACTCCCTTCTTCTGCTGCTGCTGCTGCTGCCCCGGAGATTTGCTGCTGCTACTTCACGCGGAAGGGGAGAAGAGGAAGGAGACTGTAAAAAATAAAACACCAATACACACAAGCAAAAACACACGCACACACAAAGAGCACTAAGGCAAACGGGAGAGAACTGCAGTTATTTCTTTAGTATTTTCTCAAACAAAAATACCAGCCAACAATATTAAATACTGCAATTAACAAAACTATTTGTTGCTCTGCCTTTAATACAACTTTTCTCTTCTTGCTTTTGCCCACTGCTTCTTCTACGCTCTGTATTGGTGTTTTTGAGTGTGAGTGTATGTGGCTCTCCCTCTATGAGTGTGTGCTAATGTGTGAGCGTGCCTCTGTGTGTTGGCGTTTGGCAAACGGGGCGCGGCACGCACTTTGCCGTGATTTTTCCGGCACAATTTCCGCACAAAATTTCTGCTTAGTTAAACATTTCTTTTTCCACTCTTTCAGCACACTTTTTCACAAATTTGTCCGCTTTATTTCTGCGGCGGACCTCCCGATGGACCAGCCAACACCTATACAGACACAATCACGCACACACTCTACCGCTGCCCTATACGTGCATGTGTGTGTTTGTGTAGGTAGACAGAAAAAAATCTGCCACTCGCTCGAATCGGATGCCGTTTTCGGCTGTTTTTCTCTTTTTTGGGTACTCTTTTTTTACATACTTTTACACGCACAGCGTTTGGTTGGTTTTTATTCACGCCTGTGCATTGCACAAATGCTTAATAAACTTAAGTTACGATTTTTGTGCAATCAGGGGAAAAAATTCTATACGCGAACCGACGCAGCGACAACTCCTCCGCACTGTTTCCAATCCGAATGTATCTTAATATTAAACTATCTTTCACTGTCCGTGTGTGTCTCTCTTTCTCTCTCTTTGCACAAGTTTACAAAGTTTTCGTCATCTGCTTTGGCCTCTTCAGACTGCCGCACATTTTCTTCCTTCTGCTTTTTTTTCTTTTGTTTCTGTTCCTCTTTCTCTTGACACTGACGAGCGAAATTGAGTATTGTACACTTTTTTATTGTACACTAGCAAAAAATTTAGTTTTCAATTTGTTTATTCGACGACGCGCGCAGCAACCCGACCGCGCAGTTCAAAAAAAAAATTGGGTTTGTGATGAGTGTGGCCGCGGACTTATCGATAAAATATACCGCCCGACCCTCAGAAATATACCGAAACATACCGCCTCATTTTCAAAATATACCGTAAATATACTGACGAATTCCAGTTATATTTTACATATTCCTCGTTTTTGATTTTCCGTCGAATATTACTAGCTATATAGAACATTTAGCCATGCCATCATACTTTTATACGATTGATGAATCAATTTTCAACTTAACTGGTTTATTTTAACCACTTGCTTTTATTATATTTTGCGTAAAAAGAGGTTTTTGAGAAAAAGGTAAAACAAATGAAACGTAATAAAACGTAAGAGAAAAATCGTTCCAATTGCTCAATTTCTTTATTCCGTTGAATAATGCTGCCTAACTAAAACCTTTAGCTTTGCCCATATAATTTCAGGCCATTAATAAATAAATTTTCTACAAGATTGGCTAGTTTTTAGTACTCCCATTTATTGTATTGTGACTGCAGCAAGGTTTAAACAAAAAAGGTCAACAAAGAAACAGTGGCAACGTAAGTGAGTATGAAATGTCACGCCAACCGGAGTTTGGGCCCAGCTATACCCTATTTCGTTAATATATATGAAAAACTGTTTATCCAAGCCGTTTAAAAACGCAATGATTATGGTCTTGTAAATATATCTCGATCCCGATACCCATTCTTGGTTTCTATAAGGAGACCAAACCATGAAAATATCGTTGAAATAGGTTTAAAACAGAGACTAAATTGTTTTTGCATTAATTGGAGCCTGGGATGACAAACATATTATCAATTTTATAATATTCCTTTCCCTAGGGTATGAAAATTAGCGTTGGCAGTAGCAATTTTATTAATACGAAGAATTCCTCGTTTTTGATATTCCGCCGAACATTACTAGCCATATAGATATCTCAGTTTTGCCCACATAATGATATATGGTTAATGAATCAATTTCCTACAAGACTGGTTAAATTTAAGTTTTCATTTTTTTTGCATTGTTCATAAAAACGGGCTTTAAGCAAAAACGGTCAACAGAAATTTCCACTAAATTAGTTTCCTTACATGGGAACTACACGCCAACTACACATTTGCCACAATTTAACGAAATTTATATGTAAGTACCAAAAGCGACACCTGAAGGGGAGAACTTGACCACTTAGGACCCCTCTATTTAAATAGTTCAACGACTTGAGGTAAATGGCGGCAAATATTGCTGATTTCAAATTGTTCTTGTAGATCAGATCCATCTTGTGCTTCCTCTTTTCTTACAAAACACCCCCGATATATTTCACCGGAACTGCGCTAAAATTGTTAAATTTACATTATTTTTGGTGTCCGTCAAGGATTGGAAACCGTATTCGTCGGTTTTGATATTCGATTGGATAGTACTAGCTAGCTAGGACGTCCACACCTGAACACGCAAAATGTCGTTAAAAGCTTTAAAACAGAGACTGACTAGTTTCTGCATTCATTGGAGCCTGCGCTCACAAAGATCAAAACGAAGTATTTAAATAATTATACATTTGTGTTTTCTTGTTACATATTATATTTCTTGTTTGCTTAAAGTATGATATTTATGTTATAATTATGTTGTGTGGTTCATGGTTCATGGACCATAGATTTTATAACTTTTAAAAGTTTTTGTTCAACAGAGGAATGGGATCAGACCAGTTTCATTTGTGTAGTGTGTGTTTGGGAGCGCTCCTGCAAAAGAGTTCTATGCCCAACTCTATTCCCTATTTAAGCAATTATTCCCCTTTTTTATTGCTTAATTCCATAAGGGTGCAGGGTGCAGCTTGTAGGGTGTGGAGACTGTGGTTCTATTGGCGAGAACTATTTCCACAGCTGCCCATGAACAATCTCCAGTATCATTTTCTTACGAAAATAGCTCATGTGCTCCTGATTGAATGTCAGCGGCTTTCCCCGAGTTATATATTCGGCTGTCATACAGCTAAACACACCGCAGTCTGATCCGTTCGTTTGTTGCGGACCATTCAACACATTTTCAATCCTAAAGCCGCTCATGTCGTACTGCACCTTGCGCTTGTCTAGCGACTCGGCAATAATGTAGTTCTTAAGGACATCCAGGGCGATGTCATTCGGGTATCCAAGCGAATCGTAGTAGAAGATAGTCTTATTTTTGAAGTGTATGATGGCCATGCACCAACGATTACTATTGCAGTGCACAGGCACTAGAATGATGTCCTTGCTGAACACATCAATCTTACTCGTCCAGCACTTCACAGCATCGAACCCACACTCGAAGACGCGTTTCAGAAAGACTGTGCTCATACTGTAGACACTGGGCAGAATTCCCTTCTTCTGCTGCGAACGTTCGATGAGCAGATTCATATAGAAATTGATCACTGTGTCGTTCACCCGGCTCAGGTCGGTCAGTGTGCGAATATCCTTTTTAGTGATTGTACGCGAATATTTGGTGATAAGAGGCTGCAAACAGATCAGATCAGAACAGGACAGACACATGCATTAGAAGGGTGAGGTAATATGGCATGGAATGGAGCGAGACAGTGATCCTATTCGAATCAGAAATCTGAATATGGATATATTATAGATGGCAGTGCTTACAGCATTGTCTGGGCCTGTCACTATGTCTTGCAGCTCCCGCAACTGCCCATCGGTGATGGGAATAAACTCAATTTCCTTCTCGAAATCATAGCGAAATAATAGGCCGCTGGACTGCTGCATTGCCGGGACTTCTTCCTGATGCTCTGTTTCGCTTTCCGCAGACCTGAAGAAGCAACACATAATCATAAACTATTCAAAAACTATCTCTTTATCCTCCACTCACTGTGCCTGCTCGCTCTCAGAGCTATCGTCCAGTTCGATTATGACGGGCTCCTCGTCAATGATCAGACAGTCGTCGTCGGATCCGCTGCTGCCATTGCCATTGCCCTGTTTTTCCATGTCCACGGCAATCGGATATGAAATGTTACGGAAAACGTGCTGTCAACAGGGCGATACTTGAAAAAAGAGGAGCTCTCTTGTTTTTCGGCACTACAAATAATTCAAAGCAAATGATAATAAATACTAGGAATACTTTGTTGAGGAGAATCAGTTGAAATACTTATGAACGCTTCCTTGAAGTATCGTAGAAATATGGTGCTGGGGTTTCAGTTCCGTCGCCGGTGCCGGTGCCAGCTGCCACGCGCCGCTCTTCGCTGCTTGGAGGAACCGTCGCCGGTTCCGGCTACTTCAGTGGCAGTTCCATCTTTCGCATAGATATAGAGCCTGGTAAAGGTCCTCAACGATGACGCGCTTCTGTTCTTGTTCTTGCCCTGGATCTAGAACCTCAAAATTTCCTTCGTCAAAATCCGCTTGGGTTGCTTTTCCTTTTCTTCTCAACGGCATCAATGGCTGGGCAAAGACCAGACTGTGGCGATAACACGAGGTCTGCGGTGCGGGGCCAGCAAGTGCCTCTTCAGGAAGAAACAGTGACAGTGCCTGTTCAGGAAGGGACAATGACAGCGCCGCCTCTGTCCGCAAATTTAGTACAGACACGGCCTCTGGCTGCTGCTGTTCGATTGGATGACGACTCTGCTGCAGAAACTCTTCTCAAGCCGTGTGCTGGTGGGACTGCAGATTCTCTTCGACGGCCTCCTGCTGCTGAGGCTCGGGTGAGAGTTTACTCGATGAGGATTGTTGTTCTGTTCATTTGAACCGCCCGCATGTTGCCGGCAAAGGAACTGCTCTAGTAACTATCGTAGCAAATAAGATTTGGCGGAACTTTTTCGTTGGAAGCCAATATCAATACAAGATCAATTGAAGCGAAGCGCCTTTGTCGAATGAAACCGTCGAAACCGAAAATTTACA